ATTATAGAGGTCGAAGAAGCAGAAGAAAATGTTGATGCTATAATGGCCAGACACAAGCCAGACTGTTATTATGTGATGAATAAAAGATATGTCGAAGAGAAAAATGCCTTTTTCGAAAATCCAGATGAAGCTATGAAAAACCATCTGAAACCTCTCTTTATAAGAGGTAAAGTGGAGAATATGGCTATAAGTAAGATATTGGTAGATGGAGGTGCTGCAGTGAATTTGATGCCACACATTATCCTGAAGAAGTTAAGAAAAACTGATATAGACACAAAGCCACATAACATGGTTTTATCGAATTATGAGGGTAAAATAGGAACAACCCTGGGAGTTATTCAGGTCGACTTGACTATTGGCACAATAACAAGACCAACTATGTTTTTTGTGGTCAAATCTGTTATTTCTCTGAAATTATGATTGGCATGAATTTGGGTAAAACTAACTTTGCAGCAACATGTTGAACAAGATGTTTCAACTTGCAGGTTCAACATGTAGAATGTAATGTCCTAACCAGAAGTATAGGACATCTGGTCTGTTACTGTTTTGCGGTTTGGAAAATGTTTCAACCTGCAATTTTAATATGTTGAATGTGATGTCCTAACCAGAAGAGCAGGACATCTGGACTATTACAGTTTTGCAGTTTGGAAGATGTTTCAAGTTGCTATTTGAACATGTCGAAAGGGATGTCCTAACCAGAAGTATAGAACATCAGGTCTACTATAGCTGATAGTTTGGATTCAGTTGTTATGATTTAATTACTGAATATTATGGGAATATTTAGTAATCCTAAGTTGCATCCAAGATTGATAAATCATAGATTTTATGTTGTTTTTCAAAGATAGGTAAAGTTTATAAATATGAAGACATTTTAGGAAACTAATGATTGAAGACCTATTTTCTTGGAGAAGTTTATGCAGACTTTGTGCAGCCTCTTTGCTGAGTTTTTGAAGCCCAAATCCAGTTGGGAAAATGTTTATAAATTGAAGTATTTGTAACCTAGTTTAGTATGGGTCCAGGATGTAGAACCATTAGGGATTTTTCATTATGTCGCTCTCTAGGAGAGTTGGTTTGTGTGATCCACTCGGGTTGTGAGTTGGATTGTGTTACAGAGTTATAATCTTTGTTATTGTTATCCTTGAAGCTTTTAAGCAAGAAGTAGTATTTTTCTTAGAGGAAGCTGCTAAGAAACTCTAAGTATTGTTCTTGATCAAAGCTGTGAAGCAAGATCAAGTATGTTGTTCTTAATAAATAGGTGTCCTGATTAAGGTATTTTTTTGCAATTGAAGTGTGATATTCATTTAGGTGAAAGGTCGTCGATACAGTAACTGGGACTTGGACTGTTAGACATCATTGTGATAATTGGAGGTGAGATGAGATTTATCATATCTAGGGAAGACCTAGGTAAAAGTTGTACAGGGTAGTGATTAAGTGATAAGTGGTAAACTTAGGATTAGTTTAGCTTTGAATTGATAATGTTTAGTGGATTTCCTTCCTGGCTTGGTAGCCCCCAGAGTAGGTGTTGGTTTGCACAAAACTAGGTTAACAATTTTGTGTGTTGTTTTGCTTTTTAGTACTATTTTTATTTTTTATACCTTGCCATGTTTGTTTTAGTCAGAACAGATGTCTCGACATCCTATAGGGCATTTGTGATCTAATCTACCAAAATTTCAGAATCAAAGGCCAATTATAAATTATTGTTAGGCCGTGAGTGGATACATGGAATAAGAGCAGGGCCATCCTCAATGCACCAAAGAATAACCATTTAGTACAATGATGGTATAGTGGAAAATATTGAAGTTGACCAAAGTTATTTTATGGCAGAAGTTAATCATGTCGAAAGGCGCCATTTTGACAGAAATATGGACAAAACATTTCTCCTTGCAATCCAATTGGATTTGCATTTTCACCTGATGATAATGCATATTATTCCCTTTATTTACATCCTACTCAGGGTTTCTAGCGGGATAGACAGGTTTTAGGAAATGGAGACCTAGGTTATGAGGGAGAAGAAGGAATCCAACCAACTGGTTGGGGTAGTGAATTCAGTGAAGATGTCTGAGTCCTAGAAATTTAGAAAGATTTCGGCCTATATGGCTGAAAACGACTTTGGAGGCTGAAGTCAAATTCATGGCTCTCGAAGCCAACATTATTGAGGGGCACCTTAAAGGTCCTGGAAAGGAATTCAATCCTAAACGGCCTGATAATATTCGAGACGAGGTGCAAGGCCAGAGGTTTGACTTCATTTATGATGACGAGCCTTTGGGTTTCGAAAAATATCTGTTGGCAAACAATACATAGATGTTAGCATAAGATCTGCTCGAAGAAATGGACCTGGGTAAAGGGAAGATCAAAAGGCCAACATACATCAGTTCCAACATCATCTCATAACTTAGACTATCTACAATGGCAAAATTATTCAACACCCATTTTTCCCATTTTTTACACTCCACATCATCTTCTCTCTCTTCCACCTAATAATTCAACACCCATTCAACTTTTACTCACTATAATGGTTTTGTTTAATAAAATTCAACACCTTAACCCACCACTTTTATTTCAAATTTTTATTTTCTTTTTTATGTTTTTGTTTTTTTGATTATATATTAATAATAATTATCAATTGAAATTAAATGAAAATAATTAAAAGTTAAATATTTTATTTTATTTTATTTTATTTTATTTTTAATTCAAAAACTTATTTTAATTTTTTTTCTCTAATTTTATATTCGTAATTACAAAAAACTTAAAATGCAATACAATATAGACAACATACAACATACAACACACTTAAAATGAAACACACATAACTTAATTAGTACAATAGACTCAACTCACAAACAATCTATTTAATCACAAAACATTTCAAAATTTACCCAGATATGTTTGACTAGATCTGCTTGCAATTCGTGATGTACATTTGAATCACGCATGACAGATCTAGCACGCACATGATTTGCAAATGCAGGTAGCACCTCGGTCGAGAATGGCTCTGATGTACCAGACCCACTAGCCTCATATTGATCATAATATGTCCAATGTTGAGAATATGTATCTTGTTCATCCTCAAGAATCATATTATGCAATATGATACATGACCTCATGATGAGAGCTAAATCGACTATGTCCCAAAAACGGGTTGGTTCGTAAAAGATTCTAAATCGAGCCTGCAACACCCCAAATGCACGTTTGATGTCCTTCTGACATCCCTCCTGATATTTTGCAAATAACTTATCTGGTTCACTTTGAGGAAGTCTAATTGATTTGACGAAAGTCGGATAAGAAGGGTATATATCGTCATCAAGATAGTATGCCATATTATACGGACGTTGATTCACAAAGAAGTTCACTCTTGGAGTTTTTCCCTGTTCAACATCATCAAACACGGGTGAACGATCTAGAACATTTATATCGTTCAATATGCCCAGACATACAAAGAAGGCATGCCAAATCCATAAATCATAAGTTGCAACTGCTTCAAGAATAACAGTGGTGGTTCCCTTATCTCCCAGAGTAAATTGACCTTCCCATGTTGTAGGACAATTTTTCCATTCCCAGTGCATGCAATCAATACTCCCAATCATCCATGGGAACCCCCGCATCTCACTAACATGTAGTATTCTTTGCATGTAATCTTGAGTTGGGGCTCTGAGATACACTGGCTTATACAATTGTATGATTCCTTTACAGAATCTACGCAAGTACTCTAATGCTATTGTACCTCCTATTTTAATGTATTCATCGACCACATCGGCCGCCACACCATATGCTAACATTTGCACGGCCGTGGTACATTTTGCTAATGGAGATATATCTTCTTTTTTGGTTGCGTCAACTCTTTGGGTGAAGTAGTTGTCAATGCTAGATAGTTCCCCAACGATCCTAAGGAACACATGTTTTTTCATCCGGAATCACCGACAAAACATTGGATCGTCATATGTAGGTTGGTCTGCAAAGTAGTCTTCTATTAGTCTTTGGTTTTCCGCTGCATGATCTATATTGAGATATTTTCTCTTAACATTAAGTGTATATCCTTCCTCTATTTGGTTTCGTCTCTCCCTGAACCGGTTGACGATATACCTCTCTTCGATTTTAGACTGCCTTTTGTAAGCTTCGATATCAAAGAGAAATTCTGAAGGATCCATTAATGTTTTTTAGTAATATGAGATTTTTGGTATTGGTACATTAATGGAAGAATGAGTCTCCATTTATAAGATTAGTAATATCATATTTTTGGTACTGGTACATCAATAATATATAAGAAACTAAGTGATAAAATAGAAATCAATATCTTGATAATATAGATAACAGTAGACAAGAAACAAAATGAAAAAATAGAAATCAATATCTTGATAATATAGACAATAGTAGACAAGAAACTAAGTGACAAAATAGAAATCAATGTCTTGATAATATAAATAATAGTAGACAAGAAAAAAATGACAAAATAGAAATCAATATCTTGATAATATAGACAATAGTAGACAAGAAACCAAGTGACAAAATAGAAATCAATGTCTTGATAATATAAATAATAGTAGACAAGAAACAAAATGACAAAATAGAATTTAATATCTTGATAATATAGACAATAGTAGACAAGAAACTAAGTGACAAAATAGAAATCAATGTCTTGATAATATAAATAATAGTATACAAGAAACAAAATGACAAAATAGAAATCAATATCTTGATAATATAGATAATAGTAGACAAGAAACTAAGTGACAAACAATGTCTTGATAATATAGATAATAGTAGACAAGAAACTAAGTGACAAACAATGTCTTGATAATATAGATAATAGTAGACAAGAAACTAAATGACAAACAATGTCTTGATAATATAGATAATAGTAGACAAGAAACAAAATGACAAAATAGAAAATAGTAGATAAGAAACAAAATACAAACAATGACTTGACAATGACTTGACAAATGACTTGATAATATAGAAAATAGTAGATAAGAAACAAAATACAAACAATGACTTAACAACATTTAATTTCCAAACAGATCACAACCCAACTTTTCTAACAACTCTTTGCTCTGGTCATCAAGATGCTCCTTTGAACTTAGTTTCATAAACATCTTCATCTTCTTAGCCTCAGTACTTTCTTTCAACAATTGGTTTACTTCCTCTTGCCTCATGGCTATTTTGTCCAATCGTTCCAACTCTTTCTCCTTAAATTGTTTGAATTCATTCTACTCTTCATTGACCAATTCCAAGGCTGCGCCATTACTTTTTTTACCCTTTTTTTTGCTACATCCCTCCCCATTGGGAGAGCACTAGATTCTACGGAGTTGGAATTACTTGCATCACTCTCGTGAGCTCTCTTAGATCCACTACCCACAGATCCACTATTTCCTCCTACCTGACTACCATAACGTGGTTGATCACGGAGAGCGAGCCATTCTGACATTAAAATGAAATGTCCACTCTTACCATTTGAATATAATTCATGCTCTTTTGCCAATACATAATTCCCCGACCACCCGCTTTTTTGCATACGCTTAGCGTTATCATAAGCGCATGTCCATTTGTTAAGTATTTTGTTCATGTAGTTGTAATGATTTCTACATGCAGCTCCATCATGGGGATGATCAAATGATCAATGCTCATTACAGTAATAAGCAATTTTACCCCAATATGAATCACTTTTTTGGTTTCTCCCAACAACAATGTATGTTCCATATTTAATCCACCCCCTAATTAGAACCGAATTTTGATCAGTGGTCCATTTGGGGCTTTTTCGACGAACAGGAGTTGAATCCTCTGCATTTGGAGTGGCTCTATGACCATCGCTCATGCCACCAAGATCCGTTTGTGTAGAAAAATCAGGAAATTTATCAAGTCCAACATTAGGAACATTTCCATTTCCCATTGGAGTAGAAGAATAATAAGGTGGTGCTTGAGATGAATATAACATCATAGATCCATAATATGGACGATAGTTTAGATTAGATAACGAAATTATGAAATTTGGTATATTTTGGAGACCTTGTTGGTTGGAAGATTGATTTTGAAATATATAGTTGGGATTTGGGTAGTTGAAAGGATAATTAGTAGAATTTTGGGTGTTAAAAGGGTTATTGTTGGGATTCATTTCACTAAAAAATTGTTTAGAGCTACAAACAATAATTTATTTGAGGCTAAATAGAAAAATTAGAGAGAAAAAATAGATTTTTTTTCTTTGTCCAAATCAAATGAACCAAGGCTCTATTTATAGACAAAAAAAATGATGAATTTTGGTGAAAACAAAAATAAATAAAAAATTGATTTTCTATAAAATAATTGACTCCAAATAATTTAGGTGAGATAAAAATATAAATAATCACAACAACCAATTATATTTTGCAAAGTATTATAAGTGGCCCCCACTCATTTCTCATTCAACATGTTGAATGTTTTCAACATAAATTAATCCATGTCACATTCAACACCTTATTCAACAATCCATTGGAGCAATTCAACTATTGAAAAATTTATTCAACACCCCCATTGCAAGTAGTCTTAGAATCAAAGTAATTCAATTGTTGAAGGAGTTCAAGGACTGTTTCACATGGGATTATGACGAAATGCCTGGTTTAAGCAGGGATCTTGTCAAACTGAAGCTGCCAATAAAGCCTGGGAAAAAGCTAGTTAAGTAGACTCCAAGGCATTTTGCACCTAAAGTTTTATCAAAGATCAAATAGGAGGTTGAAAGGCTTCTCAGATGTAACTTCATTCGAACAACCAGGTATGTTAAATGGACTGCCAATGTAATACCATTTATTAAGAAAAATGGAAGTCTTAGGGTTTTCATAGAATTTAGAGATTTAAATGTTGCGACCCCAAAAGATGAATACCCAATGCTTGTGGCGGAAATGTTGGTTGATTCTGCTGCAGGGCATGAATACCTGAGTATGTTGGATGGATACTCTGGTTACAATAAAATTTTCATTGCTGAGGAAGATGTTCCAAAAAGGCGTTTCAATGCCCTGGGGCCTTAGGCACCTACAAATGGGTGAGGATTCCTTTTGGTTTTAAAAATGACAGTGAAACCTATCAAAGGGAAATCAAATCCATTCTTCATGATTTTATAGAAACATTTATGCAGATTTACATTAATGATATTTTTGTTAAGTCTACTTCAGGAAAAAGTCATATTGACCATCTTCGACAGTCATTCGAAAGAATGAGGAAGCATGGTCTAAAAATGAATCCTCTTAAATTCCCTTTTTGTGTGCAGGCTGTGGATTTCTTAGGATTTGTGGTCCATGAGAAAGGGATTAAAAAAAACTAAAATAAGACCAAGGTCATCATTGAAGCAAAAGCCCCATCAACAAAGAAGGAACTTCAGTCGCTGTTGGGAAAAATTAACTTCTTAAGGAGGTTTATTTCGAACTTAAGTGGCAAGACTCAAGCCTTCTCACCATCGCTTCGACTTAAGAAGAAAGGTTTTGAATAGGGCAAGATCAACAAGAAGCTTTCAACAAGATCAAGCATTATCTTGTTCAACATCCAATCCTGTCTACTCCTTGTAGAAATAGGAGCATGAAATTGTACGTATTTGCGTCTGATGTAACTTTAGGGAGCATGTTGGCTCGAGGATGAAAATGGCGTAGAAAGGGCCATTTACTACCTTAGTATAGTTTTGAATGCTGCAGAAACTAGATAGAGTATAGTTGAAAAACTATGTCTGTGTCAATATTTTACATCTACAAAGTTGAAGCATTATATAAAACCAAGTGATGTTTATGTATCGTCTCATTTTGACGTTATTAAACATATGCTATCTAAGCCTATATTACATAGTCGAATTGGTAAATGGGCTCTTGCATTAACAGAGTATTCACTAATATATACACCTTTAAAGGCTGTTAAAGGACAGATAGTGGAAGCTTTATAGTTGACCACTCAATAGTCGAAAGTCCTTTGAATTATCTTGAGCTTGAGCCTTGGAAGTTATATTTTGATGGCTCTAGTCATAAAAATGGAACATGTGTAGGAGTATTAATTATTTCTCCTAATAAAATCCCAACAAAATTTAAGTATAAGGTTGAAGGCCTTTGTTCAAATAATGAGGCCGAATACGAAGCTTTAATAGCGGACTTGAAACCTTGTTGGAATTCGGGGCTACTTGAGTCAAAATAATGGGTGACTCAAAGTTATTTATAAAGCAAATTACGAAAGAGTATAAGTGTGTTAAATAAAAATCCTATTATGTATTCTGTAATAGCTATTCGACTCCTATGGAGGTTCGAAATGGTAAGTATTCAACATGTACCTCGACATGAAAATCAAGAGGCTAACGATTTGGCCCAAATTGCTTATGTGTACAAAATTTCAAAGGAATATCTACAAGATGCAATTGAAGTTAAAGGAAGAGTCGTTTCAACCAGACTATCCCCATCAGATTTGAAAACTACAAAGCTAGGATACGCTGAAGAATAAAATTTTGAAATTATAGCTATAGACAGCTTAACAGACGAGGATTAGAGAAAGCCAATAGTAATATATTTGAAAAATCCAACAACTTCTGTCAAAAGAAAAATCAAGTATCGAGCTTTAAGTTATATTCTTATGGGTAATGAGTTATTTAAGAAGACACGTGAGGGAGTCTTGCTTAATTGCCTTAGTGAATCTGAAGCATATATGGCCCTCTCTAATGTCCATAGTGGGACATGCGGGGAACATCAAGTAGATCATAAAATGAAATGACTTTTGTTTTGACAAGGAATATATTGGCCCACCATACTTAAAGATTGTGTAGAGTTCACCAAAGGATGTCAAGAATTCCAAATGCATGCAAGCATATAACATGTCCCTGAAAGTGAATTCCATTCCATTGTGAAACCCTGGCCTTTAAAAGGACGGGCTTTAGACATAGTTGGAGAAATTTGACCAGCATCATCAAAAAATCAAAGGTACATTTTGGTAGGTATCGACTATTTCACTAAGTGGGTTGAAGTGATACCATTGGGGAACATTGATCAAGAAGATGTGATCGAATTTGACCAGAAGCATATCGTCTATAGGTTTGGAATCCTAGAGACTATTACAACTTACCAAGGATCAGTTTTTACTGGTAGAAAAGTTTAATAGTTTTCCAATGAAATGGTATTCAAATTACTGACATCTAAACCTTATTACGCCCAGGCAAACGGCTAGGTCGAAGCAGTAAATAAGGCAGTAATTGGGTTGATTAAGAAACATGTGGGGAAAAAGCCAAAAATTGGAACAAGACGCTTGACCATATCTTATGGGCTTGTCGAACTTCCCCTAAAGAAGTTATAAATGCTACACCATTCGACTAATATGGCCATGATGTAGTATTGCCAATTGAAATTTACCTACAATCAACTAGGACTCAAAGACAACATGAGATTCCATCTGAGATATATTGGAATACGATGTTGGATGAATTATTTGAGGTGGCAAAGAAAGACTAATTGCCTTAAAACTATTGAGAAGGAAAAAGAAGAGGGTGGAAAAAGCTTATAACAAGAAGTAAAAAGTTAAGTCATTTTTGACTGATGATTTAGTTTGGAAAGTAATTTTGCCCATGGATCGAAAGGATAGAACCTTGGGAAAATGGTCCCCTAAATGGGAAGGCCCTTTCCAAATTATCCATGTTTTTCTAATGGTGCATACAAAATTGAATAATTAAATGAGGACATAAGAATCTTGAAATTGAATGGAAAATATTTTAAAAAATATAAACATGCACTTCAATAAATCAAAATAATGCAAGAGTAGTACATACATAACAGTCGAAGTTGTCGCATCTGGGATTTTCATCGAAGCGTGAAGGAGGTGGAAAGAAGAGTCTCCATCAATGTTATTTATCCCAAGAGAGGTAAATGAAACATAGAGTAAACCAAAAGAAGGGAAAGAACATGGTCTCACGACCAAGAGAAAGGGTAAGAAAGTCGATTACACGAGGGGAAGGTATTAGCACCCCTCACGTCTGTGGTACTCCACAAGATCCACTCAAGTTTGTTCTAATCTAAGGGTGTATAAAAAATATAAAGCTAACAAGATAAAGAGGGAATCCATGCAAAGTATATACAAAAATAAATTTGTATTAGTTGTTCCCTCCGGAATTGCGAACCTTTGTGCCTACGTACCATCTTTCGTGCAATATGGGATCAGGGCACTCGTAGTTCAACTAAAAAGGTGTTTTGGTTTGTTGTGTGTTTTTTACGAATAATGCTAGCAAAGCATTCCTTTTTGAAAATGTTTTAAAATAAATAGTCTTAAGACAAAAAGATTTGCATTAGTTTGTGTTTTTGTAGGTAAGATGATAAATGGATCCCACTACTAGGACACTTATCATCCCTCTACTTTGTGAAAACAAAGTTTGGTATTTGAGTCACACCAGAGACATATGAATTAAAGAAGGATAAGTCTGGGTCTATACCCTCTTTTCCTTCCCATTACTAAATACTCTTGGAGGTGTGGCTCTCATCAATTATTTATTAAGTGTTTTGTAGCTTTGAAAAAAATAAGTTTTAGTTTTAACATGAATGCAAAAGAGAAATACTAAACAAATGGGGATCTCAATCCTATAAGTTG